TTTTTTCTGTTTCTCCCTTCTTTATAAGGCAAGACAGGACCAAGAAATGTCACAAATATCTTGATCCAAGTAAATTAAAAGTTCTGTAATTGAGTGCATTCTCAGTAAAGCTTTTTTTTAAGGAAATGGTAATGAAACCCACAGTGAGATATCACTCCATACTTATACTATGGGTAAAATTAAAAAGACTGTCTTGGGCTTTCATTGCATAGGTTCATTTTATAAGAAAGAAAAGAGAAGGAGACTTCCATAAGGATAGTTTCCATTTCTCCCCTGAGCTACCAGCTATAGCATGCTACCACTGCACTATGTTGCCATCTTTTTCTTTCTTTTGTGGAGCTTGGAATCAAACCCAAAACATCATGCATGCTAGGAAAGTACTGTCACTGAGCTATATTACTCCCCGCCCACCATCACCAGCCCCTACAGCTTCTGCTATCCTTCTGAAGATATTTAACAATGCCATAGTAAGTCTGCCCTCTCCTTCCTTGGTTCTCTGCAAAAACTGAGTGCCTTCTGTGTACCAGACACTCTGCTAACCACTGGGGGTAGCCACACAGACTTGTCCTAACTGAGCATGCAAGTCCTAACGTACAGTGGGCAAGAGTAAGACAGGAAATTACCAGAGTGCAGATAATTTGTGGAAATGTAAGTGACAGTGTGTGAAAAGCAAAGTTCAGGGAGCATACAACTGTAGCCCAAGAAAGGCTGCCTTGGAGGAACTGGCAGTTTGTTTTTATTGTCCACTGAAAGATGAATGTCTAAATCATGTAGCAGAGGACAAAGAATGTCCAATGAAAATGGAAGATGCAAAGGCCCTGTGGTGAGAAGGAGCAAAATGTACTTGAGAAACTGAAGGAAAGCCAATGTGATATGGATTATTGAAACAGTTGGCTGTCAGGACATTTGCATTTAATGTCAAGATAAGAGCTGCATTAAAAACAAGCTTAATAATATAAAAATATTGTACTCCACAAGTGAATACAATTATGATCAGTCATTTTTAAATAATATCAACTTATAAAGAAAAAACAGAATAAAATGTACACCTATATTTAATCCAGTTATCCCATCTCTTAGGTTATTTGCCAAAGAGAAAACAAGGTCTATGTCCATACAAAGACTTGTATCCAAATGTTCACAATAGCTATAAAACTGTTTTAGTAGACACAACTAAATTTTCATAAATAATTGAACAATTAATACGATATGATAAATCCATACAATAGATTATTAGCAATAAAAATCTAAAATATTGATAAATACAAGGATGAATCATAAAATTTGTAAAAAAAATGAGTACATACTGAATGTTTCTCTACATACTATAAAACTTCAGAATATACAATTTCATATATGGTGACATAAATTAGAATGGAAATTTCCTAGGAAAATGGAAGAACTAGGGGACAGAAGGAGAAAGAAAAGAAATACAAAATATCACAAGGAACCCATTGTGAGTAATTGACACATTCACTATCTTGATTGTGTTGATGATTTCACAAAGAGATATATATTAAAATTAATAAAATTGTATATAAAATAAATTATATATAATAAAATGTTCCACTTAACTGTATGTCAAATGTACCTCAACAGAACTGTTTGGGGTTTTTTTTTGTGTGTGTGTGTGTTTTTACAGGTGGGAGTGATTATGAAACTGTCACTGTAATCCAGGTGAACCACACAGTGGTTTGGACTAATGTTAAAAGTGGAGATGGAGAAAAGTGGTAAAATTAAAACGTACTTTCGTGGTATACGCAAGAAAATTTGCTGATACAGTGAATTTTTAAAAAGAGAAAGAGTCTGGCACTGTGGTGCACTCCTGTCATTCCCAGCAACTCAGAGGCTGAGGGAGGAGAATCACAAGTTTGAGGCCAGCCTGAACAACTTAGTGAGACCCTGTTTCCAAATTATCTTTTTTTAAAAAATGGTGGGTTTGTAGCTCAGTGCAACAGGCTTCCTGGGACAGAAAGAAAAAGAAGGAAGAAAGAAAGGAGGGAGGGGAAAGACAGAAAGAAAAAGGAGCAGGAGAGGGAGGGAGGGAGAGAAGAGAAAGAAAGAGAAGGAAGGGAGGGAGGATGGAGAGGGAGGGAGAGGGGAAAGGGAGAGAAAAAGGATAAAGGAAAGAACAGAGTGGGAAGGAAAGGAAGAAAAGGAAGAATCAATCAGTAAACTCTCTAGTTTATTATCTAAATACCAGCGTAGACTGTAGGACCATTGCTTGAGGTGGAGGAAGAGTTGGGAGTAGGAATATGTAGAGGATATTCATCCCTGTATCTTTGGAAATAGAGAAACAAAGGCAAACTGAATGTCTGTCATTGAGAGAATGGATACATCAAATGGATATACTATACAGCAGATAAAAGGATAAATTACAAGCACATAGAGCAACATGGATAGATTTCAAAAACTTAACGCTGGTGAAAAAAGAAAACAGTGAGATATATTTAAAATCATTTAATTAAATATGAAACAAATGAAGATGAAAACTGTTTCATAAGGAAACAAGCACGCTTAAGGAATCTAACAGCAGAGTTTGCTCCTTTGCAGGAAAGGTGAATGGATGTGGGTATACAGAAAGAAGCGGAAAGATAAACAGACCCTGAGAGACACATATATGGATTAGGAAAGAAGCTGACTTCACAAAATGAGGAGTTTGATTGATTAACTCTAGTGGCAGTACTCAAGGTCCAAAAAACATTTATTAAACTAAAATAAAATAACAAAAGATGAAAAGGACAAGAGCTTAGGTTCTTGCTATATTAAAAGGATTATCTAATCTTTCCTTACTGAGCCTTAGATATATGAGTAGCCTCCATAGAGGTTTTTTCCCTCTCTGGATTTTCTTCATTCCCATTTTGTTACTGCTGTGTTACTGTCTTAATAATGTTTTATTCTAAATATTGCACATCCTAGATATGTTTATTGTATGATGTTCATCAAAGGAATCAACTGTGAAATTTAGATCCTGAGAGAAAATATTGTTACTAGTTTTTACCAAACTTTATTACACCAGGCAAAGTAAAGGAGCTGAGTCAATAACTAAACTTAGCTCCTAAGTAATAAGTCTAAGGAATAAATAAACAACTGCTAATTCTATTGTAACATCCTTAATGAAGACTAAGCAGTGATGAATACAACCCAATCCTCACACCAGCTAAGAAAAGCTTACAAGAAGTCTGAGCTTACCTTACAAAGGAAAGTACATATATCCTGGCTGCTCAGGTGAGAATCTAAAGGCTTAACAATGCCCCTTCATTCATGCAGCCTGTGGCAACCAAGCAGTGGCCCAAATGAAATCACTATCATTACATCCTTAACAAAGTTGACGTCATTACGATCATATCCATAAATCAGGGACACCCTTGCTCCAGAACCAAAGTTAAGAGGTTATAAGCAGCTTGTTTCTACTACTTCTTTCTGTGAGCATAATATCCAGATTAATCTTACCCTTTGCCTTTTTAGAGTCAGCTACTGACCTAGTTAATGGATAGTTAAGAGAGGATTAGGATATCCTGTTTTTCTTGCCTTTAATACTTTTAACTGATGGGTTAACAAAAACACCTAGGATATTTTTAAGTTTATTTCTTTTATTCATCCATGTATTTATTTAATATTCACTGAATGTAAGCACTATCTTAGATGTTTGAGATGCAGTGGTAGGAAAAAAAAAAGTACAAGGGGCTGGAGTTATAGCTCAGTGCTAGAGTGCCTGCCTCACACGCCTGAGGCCCTGGGTTCAATCCTCAGCATCACATAAAAATAAATAAACAAAAATAAAGATATTGTGTCCATCTATAATTAAAAAATATTTTTGGTGGGACCTGTAAAGCATGTGATAAAGAAACAAAATATAGGGACTGGGGTTGAGCTCAGTGCTAGAGTGCCTGCCTCACACACCTGAGGCCCTGGGTTCAATCCTCAGCATCACATAAAAATAAATAAACAAAAATAAAGATATTGTGTCCATCTATAATTAAAAAATATTTTTATAAAAAAGTATGAATGATGAAAGAAACAAAACAAATGACAATCTGGTAAAAACATCACAGAATTTTGGCCTATTTAAGTAATGTCTCTTGTATCTTTAAACAGCACCTTTTCTCCTTATGTATGTCCAGACTCCACTATGGAGAAATAATGAAGTTGAGACTCATTTTTGCTGCATTAGTGCCTAAAAAAATTTGGAAACCCAACCATATAAACTGCTTCTGTAAACGTTCATCTATGAAAATGCCTTATTAGATTAACAACTGTCATGAAATTAATACACAAATCACATATCAGCTGCATAGAAAGGATAGTCACACCTTGGGTTATTCAACCACATCTACGAATGCTCAGAAAAACCAGACTCAGTCTTTATGTAAGTGTGAAGAGCTGAGAAACACAAAGCTTCTCACCCACTTTCCACTGTGTATTTTCTCACAGTTGGCAATATTCTTTAGAATATAATTTTATCTGCAAAGGGTCAGCGTTAGGACAAAAAATACATGCTCAAGAGGAAGTTAACATAGTAACCCATCAAAACATAAAACCTCTCTAGGACATGAGCAATAATACATATTTACAGAGATTTTTTCAGATCAGTTCATAATAAATAAAACACAGAAAAGTTTATGTCTTCTTTGGTTTTTATTTTTAATTGACACATATTAATCATACATATTTGTAGGGTAGAGTGCAATATTTCAATTCATACATAAAATGTATAATGATCAATTTAGGCTAATGAACATAGCCATCATATCAAACACATAGAAATATTCAAAGTCCTCTCTTCTGTCTGTTTTGAAATCCACAATAAATTATTGTTAACCTAGTCAACCTACTGTTTTATGGAACACTAGAAATTACTCCTCAATCTAATGGTTAACTAAATTTTGCCACCCTCCTCCCTTCACAGCCTCTGGTACACTATTCTACTTTCTACAAATATGAGATCAACCTTTTTTAGTTTTCACCCATGAGAACATAAGGTATTTGTCTTTCTGTGTCTGATTTATTTCTCTTAACATAATATCCTCCAGGCTCATCCATGTTACTACAAATGATAGGATTTCATTCTTTTGATGGCTGAATAATTTTCCACTCTGTAGGTATATAACATTTCTTGATCCATTCAGCCTTTGATAGAAGACTAGGTATAGCTTTGACAGAGATGGTAGAGGTGGGGAATATGGGAACCAGCATGAGCAGACAGCGTGAAACTACTAAAAGCAAACTTTTATCTATTTTATAAATTTGCCTAAATATGATCTTTAAGTATTATTATTAACATAATACTTAAATTGTCTCAAAGAGAAACCAGCAGTACAGTATCAATTTCTAGAGGCCACATTAGTCTTTCATCTAATACCATTATGTTAGTAGACTTTGCATTCACTAAATATATTCTCATGGCTGGCCCAGAAGCCCAATGGCCACTCCCCTCTTTTCAAATAGACATGATAGATCTGAGATTCAGTACAGTCCTGCCTTGCATCAACGTCTGACCTTCTTACAGATGTACTGCAAAGGAACTTCACAGCTGGAAGCTTGAAGACCATCTTCATTGATGGCACCACATGTCTGTATCCAGCTATTAGAAATAATCCTGTAAGAATTCAGAAAATCCATCACTTGTGGCAACATGCACAGTAAGGGAGTTGAAAAGCATGAAAGGATAAAAATTGAGCAAATTCTTTCTCACTCAACTCCCGAAATAATAGAAGAATAAAAATTTTTCAGGGCTGGGGCTGTGGCTCAGTAGTAGAGTGCCTGTCTAGCACATGCGAGGTCCTGGGTTCAATCCTCAGCACCACATAAAAATAAATATTTTTTAAAATTTTCATTAGCCTCCCTCTAAAATATCACTTTTGGAGGTCGGGGGTTGTGGCTCACCTATCACATGAAGAACCTGGGTTCGGTCCTCAGCACCACATAAAATAAATAAATAAAATAAAGGTATTGTGTCCAACTACAACTAAAAAATAAAAAAATAAAAATCACCCTTTTTTCCCCCTTTCCCTCTGTCCACCCACTCTTCATTCCCTTTTTTGGCCCCTATTTTCTTCTCCTTATAGCCATTCCTCTCCTCTGTATCTGCTGTCCCTCATCTATTTTTCAAGCCTTGAGTCATGTCATTTTTTTCTTTCCCTCAGCTTCCTCCTCCTTGTTATTTTGTTTCACTCCTTTGAAGCCCTTTACCTTGACAAGTTTAAAGCTGATCCATCTTCCCACCTCCAGCCAGAATTATTCCTCAGACCAATCCAGTGAAAATTCTCATCGATGAAATCTTTAAGCAAGCTCTAAAGGGGAGATTGAAGATGATGAGGAAAGATGAGAAAGATGCAGCAAATTAAAGAGGTTCTGTTGTCATGGTGAATAATTATTCCTCAGACCTCCCTCATTACCGCTGTGGAGGACTGAAAGTTTTGGTCCACCTTCCACAAAATCCATATGTTTAAGCCCCAGCCCTCAATGGCAAGGCTTGGGAAGGTGGAATCTTTAAGAGGTAATTAGGTTTATGTGAAGTGATGAAGGTAGAGCTCCGGTGGCTTATGTGCCCTTAAAATAAGAGACCTAAGCTCTCTTTGCACCAAATGAAGACACAACAAAAAGGGAGCCCTCTGTAAACTGGAAGTGACACCCATCAGGAACTAAATTTACAAATACCTTGATCTTGGACTTCCCAGCCTCCAGAATTGTGAGAGATAAATAAATGCCTGTTGTTCAAGCCACTCATGCTATGGGATTTTATTTTACCAACCCAACCTGACTACAACAAGCATCCACCCTAAATAACTCATCCCTCTTTTAATTTCTAATTCTAGAGATCTATTGATTGCAAGGAGGAGCAGCTTCCTACAATTGACCTTTATGTCTATATTATATTCTGGTGTGAGAGATAAGATAATGCTACATCTCTACCTTTCATTGCAACTTCCTCCTTGATTAGATGGAACACTTGATAGGTACTGAAAAGAAAGAAACCAAATATTGTTGCAGACGCAGTCCTCTTTCTCATCACTGAATGCATAACTTATGATTGATCCTATAGCAATACACTTTGTGTTTTCTCACCAAGCTCATTTTCCAAATCCTCATCAATCTTATATATGACGAGAAAAAAACATTCTCAAGAGAACAAGACTAAGGCAAATTTAAATTGGTTACACCACTTATATGTGTCATGCTCCCCAAAGGAACAGATAAAAGATGCTTTACTCTGTATGGTTTTACAGTTTTTAAAGTTTATATCCTATGGGAATTACCTCTATACATAAAGGATAAATTCAAGAAGATTAATTTTGGTGTAAGAATTGCTGTTAACATAATGAATGATTACACTTTAAATATTTTCTAACGACAGCTTAATCACTCAAATATGAATTGAATTAGTTGATAATTTCTTTAGGAGGAAACAGTGCTTTTTATTCAGAAACCAAGAAAGCAGTAAAATTCCAACTCAATGTAGTGATTATGATACCAGCAGACATCCCATTTTTATGTCACTTTTATTCTACTCCTGGAAAATGATTGCTAAACAATAAGGATTCATGGGCTACACTGAGCCATTTTCCTTTAACTAATTGGACTTTTTATCAGAAAATAAAGACTTCCTATTATAAAGTCAGGAAAGGCATGAAACCTCTTTGCACTCCCAGAAAAGATGCTATAGGAAGTACAATCTTTTGTGGTATTTCCCATGTCTAAATAATTTCTATTTTCTCTTCTTTAGGTTTTGGTCCTAAAAATCTAAAATTTTCACTATGTATACAGTCTTGCGTAGTCTGGCCCTTACCAACTATTTACTCACTTACTAAGTTCCAGCCCCATGCACTTTCTTTCTGCTCCTTTAACATGCCAAATGCATTCTTCCTCTAGGGTCTTTGCATAGCTTTTCCCTCTGTCTGCAATACCTTCCCCTAGGTTCTCATATGGCTGTCATTCAGGTCTCAGTCTCAACTCAAATGAGACCTTCCCAGACAGAGGGGAAATGGCAACAAATAAAACACAGAAATGGATAAAGCTTTTCTCAGATTTTTCAATTAGCATCTGAAAAGCTAGGATTAATTGATGCCCACTTACAAACTCCATTCCTGCACTATGTCATTTTCAGTACCCATATAATTCTGAGCCACTTGAGCACTTCTTTTTACTACTTCCTACTGCTGAGGCTATATATTGAAAATTTTTACTGTATCACTTTCACTTGAAAATCTTCCCTATTTGAAAGAGCTTCAACCCAGAGTGCAATTACTTTTCTATGTACTCAGCAAATTTGTGTGTGGGTGCGTGTATGCATGTGTGTGGCAAAAAAAAAAAAAAAAAAAAAAGCATGAAGGTATAAAGGTGTTAACTCAGAAATATTATCCCTCAGAGAGTGCATGAACTAGAGCACTTAAGAGCTGCATCACTTTAGTAATATTCATTATTATTGTAGAAAAAAAACTTGCAAGAACTAGAAGTAACAAGCGAGGTAAAGACAGGACTCAAGCAAATTAAATCAGATTCATTTTTCTTTCTTTCATTTTTTTGTAGGCTGATATTTTTACCTTATACACACAGACACACATTTTTGTAGGTAATATTTTAAATTGAAATTAAAATACTATTAAGGCACAAAACAAATTCCTTAAACTGACAAAATTAACATGGTTTATATAAAGCATCTGTATTATTCAACTATCAAGAATAACTGATAACATACCAAAGCTATTAAATTAGTCATTTTTTATTAACCAACTTAACTTTAGGGATTATAATATAAAATAATATAAATGACCCCAATAAAAATAATTTATATAAATATGCTCATAGATCATAATAATTGGGCATAGACAGAATTTTGTCTAATGTGAAAATATTTAAGCAAAGCAGAGTAATGCAGAATTATTAAAAATAATTTTTTACTAAATATTTCATAATTTTTAAAAATTGCCTCAAATAATTTAGTGTTAGAAAAAAATAGGAATGAGATAATGTCATTGTAACTACTTAGAACAAATTTTAAAAAAGAAAAAATAATGTTATGTGATAAAAGCAGAACATAAAATGCAGGATGTTCCAAAACAGTAGAAACTCATGTGTTTTTAAACAGTCTCATATTTTCTAATATCATTACTAAATTTTTCTTCAGACACTTTTTTTTGTAAACAATTTGAGGTAATGAATGTAATTGACTTGAAAAAAAGTACAATACAGAGTACTCATAAAATTTAAAATTGATTGGATGTATTGCTTTAACTTTAGAGGTATTTCACAGGTGTCTGGAGGCTGAAAAAGAACACATTGAACATATTACTTAAAAGTGTAAAAAGAGTTTTCTTAACAGGCATTTAGCCTCCAGCATATAGCATGTCATTCTCTAGCGGTATTCACCAATGGAATGCCAGTTTGAAAAACCTCTGTCTTAACCAGCCCAGATACACATCTTTTTTTAAAAAAAATATGTTCTTTTGGTAACTGTTCAGACCCAAGCATAGTACTAGGAACATCACACATATCCTAAAATAGTATATAAACCTTGCCTTAAGATCAAAAGAATAACAATGCTAGGACAAGAGACTCTGAAAATTGGATATGTAAATTTGGTTCTGTAGAATATGACAAAAGCTGGAGAAAAAGAAGCCAGAGAATCAAGCAAGAATCCTCAGGAATGTCAAAAATAAAACTTATCTATGGTTATTAAATCTAACAGAGATATTTACCCTTTCGATACTGACTTGAACCAAAGGGTCTTAACAGAAAATAGTCTCATCTTGAAAATGAAGCCAATTTAACTCTGTTCACTTTACCCAACAGTGGACACAGATGCAAGGAATGTAAGGAAAGAAAGGAAGGACAAAATCCCTGTAGGTCCCTTTCTTCCTCTGAATACCTCAGAGAAACAGAAGTATCTCCAACTCCCAGATATTCTGTACCCTATTCTTTTCCCTCCTCATCTCTCATTGTCACACTGTATAATTTTAAGTAGCTGTCATATCACAATTTTCTGTGGCAATGTGTTTCATTATGACTCAGTACTCCTGTTTATTGGTATTTGCAATGTTGGGCAAATGTTTCAAGCTCGTTGCTCACTTCTGCTATTGACTGCAGTCAGCTCAGGTCCTCAGATGCAGCTACATCAGAATGAGAGTAGGAGTGCTGCCATGAGGTCCAGAAAACCAGGCTATTATTATCAGAAACCATAAAACAAAGATTTCACATCTAATTAATAGAGCCCAATGCATTCTGCCTTAGCTCAGGGAAGACATAAAGGAAACATCGATCACAGAGGTGGAATGATTTGAAGTTTAAATTCTATCAAGAATTTCAAATCATGGAGTATTCCTTTCATAGAAATTTTTATCTATTTGAAAATAAGAATCAAAACTCTTTAATCTTTTCTTTAAAAAGGAAGTTAAAAAAATTAGGGGCTATATGTTCTACTTAAGTGCTATAGAGAAATTGCCTCTCTGGATTTCTCCAAGGGATGTTAATACAGTTTAATTCGTAATAAAGTGTTCTTGTGACATGATTCTACTCAAAAAAAGAAAACATGACTATCAAAACATATAAAAGTCAGCATGAAAAATCAAAAAATCACACTAGGATTTCTAAATCCTAAAAATCAAGCTAGGATTTCTTATTTTCTTCATATTAGCATTGAAGTTGATTGATTTTTGTGCCTGGAACATGAATTCCTTGTATTGCCTTGGGATGCCATAGGACTAACAGATGTTAGGTGGATATGAAGGATTTGAGAGGACTATAGGAAATGGAATCCCAACTGCTGAGTTCTGCAAGGTGTTCATGATCATATATGCACACACTGATATACACACACATACACACACACACACACACACACAGAGTTTCCTTTCTTCCATCGAACTTTTTGGACATTGTTTCCCAGTCTGAAACTTACTGAATTTCAATGAATGAAAAAATATTTAAAAAGAAGACATTTAAGCCCCTGCCATGATCTTTTTACCCCTAGGATCTTTCTTCTTCCACTCCTTCCCAAATTCACTGGATTTTGTATA